CATGTCGCTGGCCTTGAGCAGACCAAAGTGCTTGCCGAGAGGGTTCGTCCAGAAGGCGTCGTGGTGCTCGGGGTCTCTGACGGAGATGTGGCCGCTCATGCCTTCGATGTAGTCTTCACGGTACCAGTGGCGGAAAGCGGCGGCCATGTGTTCGAGTTGCCATTGGCGCTGGGAGACGAAGTCGGGGAACTTGGGGATACCGGCGAGAGCGACATCGCCGTGGGACATGGCCTGCAAAGGCGTCTTGTTGGCGAGCTCATGGCCGTGCTTGGTGTGCGATACCTCCTTGGGGACGATGGCGGCGGCGCGGGCCTCGATGGACTCGGTATCGCTGACAACGGCAGACGGAGCCATGGTGGGTCTTGTGATCGGTGCGCCGGTTTACGGAGTCTGAAGGGTAACGGTCTCAATGCGAAAAGTGAGCACAGCGTCTCTCCGGCCGTGGTTTCTGAACGTATCCGTTTCGAGATGGAAGAAGCGAAAGCTATGTTCAATGAGGATTTGTGAGTTCAGGTGTAATCCAGATAAAGTTGATCTGGGGAAGTTCTGCAATAATGATGGCCGCCGATTGATAGGCAATACGCCACCTACGAATGGAAGACAGAAATGTCCATCGGAAGATGTTACCCAGTGTTTGGCCGGAGCGGGGTTGCGGGTCTTGATAAGGCATGACCGGGATCGCTCACACAAAGTTAGGACCGGATACCGGAAACCGGGAAACCTGACCGGCCCGGTCCAAACATCGGATGGCCGGACAAGGAATAATGGGGTTGGGAAGGGGCCCCGCCTCCGCAACGGGCGGCTCAATCGCCGATAAGAGAGAGGCATCTCCACGGGCACTGCGAGTTCGGGCCAGGCTGTCACTCATTCATGGCATCGCGGCTTCGGGATTCACGCCTGGTCAAGCTTGGCTCAGAGGTTGAAGAGTGAGACGTGGTATGTTGGAAGAAAAACGTCGCGACAGGGTATGTTACAACTAGTCCATGCAAATTCCATCCGCCCGTCATAAACCAAAAAAACTCTCTTGTACAGCGACCGTCGTTGTCGTCGTCGTTACGCAAATGCTTTTATTTACCCGCGCGCAGCTCTCGACCGTCCGGCTCCGAGCCCGTCTCTTTTGCTTTCCTGGAGAATGGAGCGGGAGGTTATTCCTTGCTCTGCTTAGCACATGTGCCGGATGTCGCATTAGTTCGTCATTAAATAGCAGTATTTTGCTCGTATTCAGCAGTTGTCGATATGCCACGTCCATACATCTACCGCTTGGCCTGCAACGCCTTGTCCAGACACTGGATAATCTGATGAGAGTCAGCACACGCGATACGTGATCAAGCAACATTCAATAGGACATACCTCATCTCCCCAAACACCTTGGTTGCTAAGATAGCGACCCATGCCTCTCACCAATTCGAGCTGCTCCTCGACAGTCAAGCCAGTGACGGCCATCTCCATGACGCTGCCGAGATTGACCTTGTGAAGAGCAATAAAGGAATGGTAATACATGTAGGTGAAGAAGCCCATGATGAACTGGCAATCCATGCGATCCGTCATGCCGCCGTGTCCCGGAATGGAGTCGCCAAAGTCCTTGATCTTGAAAGTGCGCTTGAGCCCAGAAGCGAAGAACCCGCCAAAAGGTGCGATGAGAGAGGCAAAGGTGGCCAGTACCAAAGTGTGCAGCTGCATTGGAGCCACAGTGAAGGAGAAGGTCTGGTGCATGTTGGGTGGCAGGAAGAACAGAGGAGGCAGGCTGTACGTCTTGGGGATGAAGACGGGGTTCCGGGTACACTCAAGACCAGTAAAGATGTTCGCGCCGAGATCCTGGATTGTTGTTAGAATATTAACAGCGTTTGTCTAGGAGTAGCGTAGGGTACTCACGTTGACCGGGCACAAGAAGAAGTCGGAGCGCATCAAGACGTTGGTCAGAAGCATGCCAAACAAGATGGTGAAGGCCCAAGCGCCGACAAAACCCTCGACAGTCTTCTTGGGGGAGAGAGCGATGAGTTGCGTGCGGCCAAAGGTGATGCCGCAAAGGTAGGCCCAGATATCGTTGGTGATAACCATGGCAGCTGGGAGGAAAAACCAGATCATGCCCTCGAAAACGTTGTTCATGATGAAGTGAGCCTGGACGACAATGAGGTACAGAGCCATGTGAGTCCATGCGAACTGGGTGAATTGAAACTTGTAGTGACCATTCTGGAGAGAGGTTACGAAGAAGACGAAGCCTAGCGAGGTCGAAAGTCAGCGCGTGCTCGAAAGAAAGGGTATATTCTGTAGTGTTTCGAGAAAGGACGTACCAAAGATGTACAGTATGAAGCTAATGAAGCGGTGGTGGGTTGCCAAAGGCAGCAGAACCTTGTCGACCAAGACGATGTGCTTGAAATAGTAGATGACGCTCTCGCCGTAGAGGAAGTACATGGTGGTTGCCAGCCAGTACCAGTTGAGGCTCTTGGAGGAGCGTAGCTGGCGGGCGCGGCTGGGTACGCTGGCGATGGCGATAACCTCCTTGAAGGAGATGATCTGGATAGCAGTCATGATGCAGATGATGTAGATGTGGCCCATGAAGAGAGCAGTGAAGAAGCCAGCGAACATAACAAAGGTCCAGAAGGTACGGGTCAGGAAGTTGGCCTTCTTCTTCTCGTATGCGGCTCGCTTTTCCTCCTCGGGTGATTGGGGTTGCTGTTGCAGGCGCAAAAGGTTAGCTATGTCCATACCATGTGAACGGGGTCGCGGTCATGGTCATGGCCATGATGATGATGATCGCGCTGGCAGTCGCACTGAGGCCGTGCAGATGCATACTGTAAATCTAGAGCTTACCTCTACAATGTTTTCCAGGGCTGCGCCAGACCTTTGCTTGGTGGGCGAACCATCTTCACTGACATCGCTGAAGCTGGAGCGGCGCCCCTCGCCGTGACCATTGGCCTTGTGAGGGAACTTGACGCCCCTCCGTGTGCGGGCCATCATGTCTCTATTTACGGTTCCGCAATACTCGAAAGGATAAGAGGTTTTGACGAGTCGGCCTCGTAGATAACTGCGATACTAGGTGAGGTTGGTCAAGCCCAGTTGGTGGGAGAAAGGTCAAAGGTCGTGATTAGTCGTCGCGAAGCAAAAGCGGGTGGTTCGGATGCGGCGATGGGAAGAGTGGAAGCGGAGGGTCGGCGCAAATTAGACCGTTGGATCGCAAGAACAGGCGATGGAACGGATTATCGTCGAGTTGTCGAGACACGTCGGAAGAGCAAATTCTAGTCGAGTCCCAAGGCGTGAATGCGCAGGGTTGAGCTCGGAATCGCAGGCGGTCGTGTGTGACGTGTTGGAGAAGCGGATGGGAGTTGTCGGCGTGGATGGATTTTTTGTTGAACCCGTACGGAGCAAGGTAAGGTAGCGTAGACCTGGGAGGGAACGCAAAGGGCCAAAGGCTGAGCAGAGCAGAAGGGAAGGGCGGAAAGCGGGAAGGCACAGCTGGCGCAGAATCCCCGAGTGGACCCACCTCCTTCCCACGCCTGAAGCGGGCTGCTTCGGCTGTGTCCACGTCCACGGGACTCGGGCTGTTAGGTAGGTAGGTACCTTACGCTGCGTTGCTCCTTCCTCCAATTAAGGTACCTAAGTACTTTTATTCTATTATTTGTCTCACTTTTACCTGTACTTTCACGATTTCTATTCTCAAAAGATTTTCTGTTGTTATTTTCCCTCTTAATCGTTCTCCTAGTTCCCCAGATGTTCTATCTAGATACCTACCTACAGCCTACGTTACAGATTATCCGTACAGACGCTACGGTGCCAGGGCAGCTGGTCTGGGCGAATGATGACGGTGTAAATTAGCGTAAAAGAGCTACGTCAGGCTCGCATTCTTGCCGGGGGGGGGGGGGAGCAGCCCTGGAGATGGGAATTGGAGTCCGCTCGCATTGCCTGCCCTCATTGCCACCATTCCAGGTTGCCCCCATTGTTCCCCCCCCCCCCCCCCGAGCGGAGATTAGGTAATCCAGCCGGTCGGCAACACCGCACCTCCCACCAATGCTGAAATGCTGATAGTCCGGATGCCTCATTGGCCAAACCACTTTTTTGCACTGTCGGTTCGGTCTCCGGACTGCAAGTCATCTCCGTTGATCTCTGCATTTCTTTCTTCCCCAATAAATCTATCTGCTAGTTTCTTCGGAAACAGAACAGTCGTGCTTTTATTTTACCTCAAGCCAGGCACGGATAGGTTTAAGGCCCCATGCATGAAAGAACCTTTCGCCTCCGAAAGCACAAGCTCCAAGGAGCCCCATGCACATAAGACGCAACGGGTGAAAGGTTCCTTTAGTTCCTTACGCGTATGTTTTGCAGGGCTCCGCTGAAAGGAGGAGCATCATCCTACCTTACCAACCCACCAAAGTTGTTGAGTTGGTCAGCCAAGGGACTTCCTCTCAATACACCATATGCTACGGACGGATAAACACAGTATCTTTGAATGCTTTTCTCGAGGCTCGTGGCTGACGTGGAGCTTGAGATTGGGCAACAAAGTCCGCCGGTATAGCTTATGCCGTCTCCGGTCAAGCCGAGATAGCTATCAATGGGTGGACGCAAGCTGATGTCATCACAGGCCATCCTGTGGCAACCAACGACTTGGCCAAGTCTGGCCAACAGCTTTGGTTTAGGTGCTTTGGGGGGTGAGGCGCGAGCTTCGAAGTTCGTCCGTCTTCTGCTTGACGCTGCATTCGTCCGAGCTCACCAGCCGCAGTCACATGATTGGATTTGAGGTGGTTGTGTGGCTAGTGATCCGGAGATACTCTGTTCCTGCAAGTGCCCAGGTGTGGCTGAGCACGCGCCTCCCTCAACCTGGAGGTCGCGTCTTCCAACGCGTTGAGTCTCACAGTCCTCCAAACACTGATAAGATAAGGAAACGCCCACGGTGCCTGATGGTGGGCTGCCACTATTCCCAACTCCATAACCTTCCACCTCAACCTCTCTGTAAGGTCCGGCCGTCAATGGGCCCATGATGATGAGCAATTTGACGTTCCAAAGCGACCATGGACGAATTCAACGATGACGACTTTGATGATTTGAACGACACCACTCTTCAGGAGCTTGAGAACAACGCCATTCAATTCACACAAGCACAAAGAAAACAGGACTCCCAGTCTCAAACTCTACCTCCGCACCATGACCCTTCCCAAGTCGAGAACTACGATGACTTAGAGTTCGAAGATGACGACCTCGACGATGCCGAAGTCACCAACGAACTTCTACCTCCCGTTACTCGCCCCTCCGTAGACAAGACCATCTCCCAACAACAGCAACAGCAACAGCAACACCAGCATCCGCCCCAGCCGCTTGCAGCCAGGCACCCGCCTCTACCACCTCAACAGAGATGGAATCCTCCACCAGCCCATGCAAATCCTCCGACCCTCTCCTCGCGGCCGCGATACCCTCCCCCCGTGCCAACCTACAACGCCTCTGTAGCCTCACAGCGTTTCCAGCCTGCCCACCCTGCAGCTCCGTATCGACCTCCACCAAGCCAATTTGTCCGACCAGCACCTCCTTCGTCCGCTCGCTTCAATCCCCCGCAATCCCAGTCGCAGTTGCACGCGGCACCTGGTAACGATGTCATTGCAGCGCTCCAGCAACGGCTCAGGGCCCTCGAATCTGAGCTGAACTCTGCACGAGGCGAGGCCTCCATCATACGAACAAATTCAACCAAGGCGGAACAGGATCACGCAGCCGAGGTTGCCCGCCTCAAAAAACAGAATGCCGAACAAGCTGCCAGGCAAGAGAGGGCTGTGGAAGCCGCCATTGCGGCTGAAAGGCAAGCCACCACAGAGTTACAATTCCTCCAAAGGGACATGAAGGATGCTTCGACCCGCCCTCGCCGAAGAGAGAATGCGCCCGTGTCCGCCGCGCCAGGAACCACCACACCTAAGAAGGCTGCCAAAACCTGGGGCGTTGCGGACGGATTTGACGATATGGACATCGCTCCAAGTCCAACCAAGAACAGAGGCAAAACTCGGGACCCCGGACCTGTTGCTATTCCATTGTCGGAGAGGACGCCCACCAAAGGCAAACGGAAACGGCCACCAGTCGATAGTCCCGTCATGGCTCTGGAGACAGACGCCCAAGACGTAATCATGGTTGATGACACAGGGACCACCGCCATTCCAGTCCAGTATCCAGGCCCTGCACCTACTACTCTCCCTTTCGAGGTAATGTTCCTCCACATCACGTATCATCAAAGGATCTGTGGCTAACAGCGTCGTAGTTTCTCCAAGTCATATTAGACCATGGCTCCTTGCATGGGGAACCACCGACTTTTGACATATTATCACGATACGCATACCCGTCCGATCCGACCACGTCTTTTGCATCCTTCATTTTCCAGCATTTGCCTCTCATGGGCACGCCGCTGAATCCGGTCCAACTTCTGGTAGACTTCGCCCGTCTTGTTATCCAGATGTGGAGCCAGTGTTTGAGAGAGAATTTCTTGCGGCCAATTTGGGACCTAGCCTCACTCCTCTCCTTTACTCTGCAGCTCCAGACCATATCAGTGGTCCCGCAGATCGTCAGTGACTTGGTTCCTACGCTGCAACAGTCTATTTATTTAGTTGCAGAAGCTCGATTCAAGAGCCAGGATGGCGATGTGTCGGCAGGGGCAGCCACAGAAACCCTGCAGCAGCACGTCGATACTACGTACATCCTGTCTTTGCTGGACGCCTCTGCCGCAGCTTGCGCTACGACAATGCTCGAAGCAGACGGCGGTGCGCAGACGAGACAAGCCGAATTTTGGCAGCTGATCACTCTTGATCTAGTTCTCATCCTTCTCACCCCCAAACAACAGCTGGACGACATCATTGGCATGCTTGATATGCTGTGCACTTCTACCCTCCCAGATTCCCTTGGCCCCATCATCCCAGGCAAAGACGCCGACCTAGCTGCTAGAATGATCATCGACAAGGTTTCTCTCAACCTAGTCGACTTACCTAGAGCAGTGTCGTCTGTAAGCCAGAAGCACGCAGTAAGATTCGCAGTCTTACGAACACTCATGGCCTTTACCCGTACCCCGTATGGAGCACGACAGGTCGCGGGCCACGTCAGTGTCATACCCCGGTTAGTCACAGCTCTGGGCGAGCTTGTCGATGTTTTGTACGACCTTTCGGACCCCGTAGTGGATACCTCCAGTGGCGGTCTCTCCCCTTCACACATGAACTTGGCCGTGGGTACTACCCCGGACGATCGCCGCGATGGTGTAAACGACTTGGACGACGGCCGAAGTGGCGTCTCCTTGTTGGTATCTCAGATCATTCTGCTTCTCCATACCATGGTAACAGATCCGCAGACGGCCAACGTCGCAAACATCCTCTCAAAGCTCTCCATGTCCCACGGCGGCTCTCAACGGTACATCCTTTCCTTGTCACGACTTAACTTTGCAGAAGAAGATTTGGTCTATGAGAGCGCGATAGACGCGGATACTGTTGATCGAGCTCATGAGTTATTGGAGATTGCCGTGACCCCTGACGAGGGCGATAGTATCGCCATTTCGTTTGGGGTCTGAACAGCAAGTACCTCTCCGTCCAAAGGCGCAATCACATTTCTAGACGGCTTGTTATCCGTAGATACTTTACCTTAATAAGGTAGTTCACCTACCCCAAGTGGCATCGGTCATTTTGGAACTCGCAGTATCCGGATGCCAGGACCCTGGGCTCACTTCTCAACGACAACGAATGCAGGTATGCCAAGGGCGCCCTAACATCGTACTCGCGTTCGTTTAGTACGAAGGCAATCAGCAAATGTATCATCACATCGGCCGTCGCTGTCACATCAAACTAGTGCCGTTCTACTCTGTTCCTAGAGACTGAAGCGGCGAACACACGATCGAGAATGTGGAGAGTCATGCATCACGTCGCCGCGATCTGATTTGCAGGACCCTTTAGAGACCATCGGACTGATTAGGAATCGTCTCCAAACTTTCTTCGATTATGGAAACTCGGCCGAGAAACGTGGACCACAAGCTTCACATTACCCCCAGGAGGGCCGTGCTCGGCTGTATGGAGAAGATCACATCCCCTTATTGACTGGATGCCGTGAAAGCCACACCACGAGAGATGCTCGGACCCCGTGGACTAAGAGTTACTCGATTCGGATGTGCTGATCCCCAAGCTCTGCGATGGCGTCGAAACAGATCGTTTACTGTACTGCATAGCTTTGTTCAGTTGAGCGTCGCTGACTAGAGATGGTGACTGGACGCGCTAGTCAGGCAAAGCCTTTGCTCTTCAGCTTAGCGCCTACCAGTCATCGCCCAATTCAGCGCGCGCCCCTGAGTCAAGAGGAAGCATCTCGTCCGATAAAGCAGCCACTTGGGATGGTTCGTCCAAACCACGCCTGGGTCCGAGCCCGGTTCGTCCGGTCTGGCGTGAAGGCGTGGGTCCAAGTCGAAGCTAGGATGACAACAACAACAATACCACGGTCACTTTCGCGGGACTCGAGGTAGGCGGATCGGAGTCAAAGACCACCACTCAGCAAGACAAGCGGGGTGCATTGAACATGGCATGGTTTTTTATGGCAAGCGCCAGGAGGCGACCGTTAAACTTTCATGTCGCACATGGCCGGTCAGGAACGGGTGGTGGGCAGAAGCCACTTGTGCATCTCACAAGCTGAAGTCTCCGATGGAGGAACCCCTCCTCCTGAAGACCCCTCGCACCCCATCATGAACAGCATATATGATGCGACTTGATCGCACGTCCTCGCAAGTAAATAAGGAACCCACACTCTTTGTTACTTCTCTTCTCCAAGTTGCTGTGCTGCTATTGTCTCAGTCCAACGCCGTCACGATGCATATTCTCTTCTTTTGTACCGCGCACAATTCGCTTTCGCAGCGTCTATATGTGGCGCTGTCAAAGTCCCATACAATCACCATCGAATATGCCCTCTCAGACGATGTCATGATCGAGGCGGCCAGGCTTGCCAAGCCTCATCTCATTATCTGCCCTTTCCTCACAGCCCGTGTTCCAAAAGAAATCTACGAAAACTACCTCACCCTAATCGTTCACCCCGGTCCCCCTGGAGACGCCGGTCCAAGTGCCTTGGACTGGGTGCTCATGGGTGATGATGGGACAGAGGCCGATCCCGATACTCTCCTCCAAAAAGGCTCCTGGAGCGAGTCTGGCCGACCATACTGGGGTGTCACTGTCCTTCAAGCTGTGGAAGAGTTCGATGCCGGGCCAGTTTGGGCCTTTGAGCAGTTCCCTTTGCAGATTGACTCGCCAGCTGTCACGAAGTCGAGCCTTTACCGTGGTCCCGTTACACGAGCTGCACTTACAGCCACGCTTGCAGCCATTGAAAGAATACAAACGGCATCTGTCCAAGCTGCTTCGCCATACACTCCACCCCCGTCGCCCGGATTTGAGAAGTTCGCCCCGCATCATGTCACTCCGCTACTCCGAGCAAACCCTGCCTACCGCGACGCCTCTGTCACACTGCAGAAAGCTTTCCTCGGCGGAGTAACACGTCATCGGCCACTTCTCAAGGCGGCCCAACGCGACTTCAACATTCAGTCACACACGGCTCGGGAAATATCCCGGAGGATTCGATGCTCGGACTCTCAGCCAGGCTGTCTTACCAAGTTATTTGGCCCGGGCCTCTATGTTTATGGCGGCAACATCGAAGAAGGCAATGATCTCACTGCCCACACTCCACCTGGCAAAGTTGTAGCTTGCCGGGATGACGCCGTTTGCGTTGCGACTTGCGACAAGAAGGCCATCTGGATCACTCACATTCGTCGTGTGAAGAAGAAGACCGACACGATGCTATGGCCAAAGGTACCTGCTGTCTCAGGCCTGAGAGAGTTGGGCATCCTCGACAGCGACGCCGTCACAGAAAATCGCATATCCAGGGCGACGATCGATTGGTCCCGAGCTTCACACGGTACCCAGCAGGACATATCAGTTGACTTCCAGACATTCACCAATGCTAAGCGGGTCGCTTTCCTCTACTTCAACTTCTACAACGGCGCCATGAGTACAGATCAGTGCTCCCGCATGATTGACGCCCTTGACTTTATCGCATCCACTCATGTCGTGGAACGACCACTCAGCGCTCTTGTGCTCATGGGGGGTGACGGATACTTTAGCAACGGTATTGCATTAAACGTTATCGAGGCTGCTGCGGACCCGGCGCTTGAGTCTTGGCTCAACATCAACCGCATTGATGACGTTGTGCACTACCTCCTTCACGAATTCCCATCACGGAACATTCTTACCGTTGCTGGCATCAGAGGCAATTGTGCAGCGGGCGGCGTTGCCATGGCTGCCGCATGCGACATTGTGCTTGCTGGCTCCGAGGTCGTTCTCAACCCAGCCTACCGTGCGATCGGCCTGCACGGTTCGGAATATCATTCCCTGTCCTACACCGGACGTTGTGGCTCAGCCGGAGCGACCAAGCTGCTGCGTGACATGACACCGCTATCACCAGCTGAAGCTCGGAGGATGGGCTTGGTCGACCACACTATTCCCGGCAATGGGGCGCTCCTCGAAACCCGCATGCGGAACCTCGTCAAGTCCATGGTCTCTTCCGACAAGAAGCTAGCGCCGGGGTCTTGGAAATGCAACGTGAACGTCACGCCCGCAGGCCTGGCGTCTGCTCGTGCCGAGGAGCTGGGACAGATGTCGAAAGACTTCTGGAGCGCCAGGTCGTCCAGATATCACCTTCGCCGTCGCGACTTTGTGCGTAAAGTGAAAGCAGTCAAGACACCACTACGGTTCGCGACACACAGGCGTGGCTTGGGGGAGCTCGACGAAGAGGAGGCTAATGATTTCGACGATGTCACCGTTTATGAGCGCAAGGCTAGAGCAGTACTGTTGGCTGACCAGCTGAAGGAGTACGTCGAGAGCATGGCTACGAAACCTCCACGAAGGGATACGAGTGCAGACAAGGTCAAGGCCCTCCGTCGTCAAAAGTCTTGTGTTGAAATCGTACGCAAGCCGGAGGTGACGCAGGACCTGACGCCCGTATACTCGTGCTACTACGAGGTGACGGGAACATTAGGATTCTCATGAGATCTTCATCGACTGTCTTTTCTAAGAGCCGGCGTTACTATCATGTTGAAATATTTTCACTCAATCTGTTACTCTCTTGTGACGACTGCAAAGGTTTCGTCTGTACGAATAATACAAAATTAATTTACACGTTTGAGCTCAGAAAGTTGTTCTCAGCATCTCACTCTCGCTCACATGCAGCTAGTTGAACGACGCCGAATATCTGCAACCATCACGAAGACCACACCAAAACATTGCCAGGTTTGGCATGCTGGTTCAAGTGACTGGCTGGAGTGTAGAATTCTATCCAACCCCCTATCACTTCTCAGACGCTAATGGTACAAAAGTTCCCGAACGGCCTAAAGCTCGCTCCCATTTCATGGCGTTGGTGGACTCCCCCCATTTGAGGCTGAGCTAGAAGTCGTTTTGATCTAGTGACCGTTCAAATGCAAAATTTCTTTCCTGAGTCCCTCACTTGTCAACTTTCTTTTTGTGCAAGCCAAAAACGTCCAGTCACAGCCGCAGGCTCGAAATCGTCTGATTCTCTCGTGGAACAGCCCAGGCCTTTGGTCCCGGGAACGCACGCTACCATTCCGTTACCGAGTCCGCGGCTTCGAGGTCATACGATAGGCTACGTTTTACACCGGTCAGGTCATCGAGCCCGACATGGTGGGGTCAGCTTCCGAGGGATGGGCAGTACACGGATGCCGGATCCGGGTAGATGTGGGGTGTCATGCCGAATAGGAGCCGTTTTGCTATCAATCCTGCGAGTCACGAGTTGAAGTCTCCCATGGCCCCAAGAGGGTCTTCCAAGAGGACCGTCCTTCACTAGAGTTGTTTCGTATGCCCTATGTCTTTGGGCTAATTTTCGCAACAAGATCCGGAGCTGCCGCTCGCGTGCTTGCTTTTAGTCTATTGGTGTGTTGCCCGGGAACAGTCTCTCCTGGTACCCACGTGTTCAGCCGAACAAACTGTCAAGCAAATCAAGACACTGTGGATGGTGAGGCCACAGGCAGCTCAAAGTTCATATGCAAAGGCACCATGACTTATGCGAGGATCGGATGATTGGTCTCAAGAATAATGTACGGACGTTTCGACGTCTATACAATATGCCCCTAAACTAAAATTGATGCAATGATGCAGGTGAACTGCTTACTACCTGCAGGATGCACTTAGTACGCCCCACGAGGCCCAGGCTTTTCACGAGGAAAACTATGAGAGGAATGGATGTAAACACTGGGCGCGTCCCCCACCTCGTATTGCAACCATTCACGAGGAATGATTCTATTACTACCTCCCCATGGAACTCTGAATCTACGTGTGGAAGCAAGGTAGAATGCCCGATGAGTGCTGATCATGAGTTATTTCTCTCTTCTCGTGGCACCATCGCATAATTCAGTCACAGCAATCCTGGAGTTTTCTCGTTGTCTCCAGGTAAGCGGAAGCGGCAGGAATGCAAACCGGTATCCAAGAGACAGCAAAATATTTCTGCAATGCCTATGCAGATGAAATGTCTGAAGTC